GGGGGGGCAAAGAGGGGGAGAACGGGGGACATCTGTAATATTGTCAACAATAAATGAATTTTAAAAACATTCAACTTGCAAGGATATAAATAAAAAAGAAAGAAAAAGAATCATGGCAAGAATATAATATGGAATTGCATCAGTGCGTGGACAGGATAAGAAAGACAAGTGCTCAGCTTTCCCACTAACCGCGTGACTGTGTGGTAGTCATTTCATCTCTCTGGGCTTGAATTTCTCCCCTCGTCTTATGTGATAGTTAGATTTTCTCTAGCTCCATCATTCTTCGGTTATTTTAAGTGGACATTCACTTTTCCCCCATTCAAAGGTACCAGTTGTTAGGATGTGACGTTAATAGCCATGAAAGCACAGGTTGGTTGAAATTCAAAGTTCCCTCATCAACAATAACAAAGCTCAAAATAGGGAATGCAATCAGAGGGGATTTCAGAAGCATCAATAATATTTATTATTTAAATACAAACATGGAAATGAATGCCACTTACGTCTGAAGCTTTCAGACTATTAAGAATGGTCATTTACCATGCTTTGGAAAAGCAATCAATACATGCTACTGTTTCTCCCATACTCAAAATACATGAGTCTGGGATCAAATGAGGAAGTTTATCTCTTCTTGCTGTTACACCTAATGACCTACCCACAAAATGCTTTTTCCCATCCCTGCGACTCAAAGTTGTGCTTGAGTTGCCAGGAAGGACTGTCTTAGTTTCCAGGAATGACACAGTAACTGATGTTCCCTACAATTAATTTTGAATTGGAAATGACACTAACCATTTAGGGGGGTAATGCCACTAAACTGAAAGACAAACAAAAAGAATTACTGCGTTATAAGATAATGATACACACAGGATAAGGCTGGACAAAGTCTTAGAGTTCCTCTGACCCATGCCCCCATTTAATATTTATTCCTCTCCAAAATACCTCCATCAAAGTCTGACCAGCCTCGGCTTGAGCATCTCCAAACACACGAGCCCCTTTAACATTAAGGCAGCTCCTTCAGTTCGTTGGACAGCTCTGAGAGTTAGAAATGTCGTCGTTCTAACAAGCAGAGTCGCCTTTCTGGGGAATGTATTGATTACTGTCAGCCCTGCCTTCCAGAGCAACTGAAAATAAAGCATTTCCCTTTCATTATGATAGACCCACAATGTTTGAAGTCCGTTAAAAGACTGAGCACAATGCCTGACCTATAAGCACTCAATAATGCTTAGGTTTCTTATTTTCCCCCTAAGTCTTTTCTTTCTTAAGCTAAATATCACCAGTGTCCTACCACCATTTGTAAGGATGTGACCATCACTATCTGGTCAGTTTCCTGTAAACATATTCTGGCTTCTGGATATCTTCTGAAAACGTGAACCCTGCACTAAATAAACTTTGTTACTCTAGGCATGGAGTGTCGGTGAAGGTTAGGGTCAGGCTATCGACTCCTTCATTCATTCACTCGCCCATTCATTCTGTTGACACAGTTACTCACAGGTAAGGCTATCCTGGCTTCACACACTATTGACTCGCAGTGAACGCACGTGAAATAAAAATGCTGTCTTTTAAAATTTTTGTGCTGCTATTAAACTCTGTATGTCAGCACTGGTTCTTCTGTTCTCATTTGCTCTTGTTAACTTAATGGCTACACAGGTAAAGGAGTCAGAGGGGCCTGCAATTTATAGGCACTGCACAAGGACAACCACGGATTTGGAAATACAGAAATTATAATTTCTAAAGTAAAGAAATTGTACCAGCAGTAACTGATCAAACAGTCATCTTAAAGAGAAAACATTAAATTTTCATCCAAAACAACTTAGTTGAAATCATTAAAATATCTAAAGAAAGAATAGCAATCAGTCATAAAAGTGTATGAAAAGGATTGAGAAAGGCAAATTCTGACATTGCCTGGCCAAATAAGAAAGTGCCTCCCGGGCAGGTCCAGGGGTCCTGTCAGCCAGCAGATGTTTACACGGCTGCCGTGACTGTCAGACACCACAGCCCTTAGCATTCTGATCGGGTCCCCTCTGGCCGATTCTGTCCTCTGCTATCACATTCTGCTCATCAGGCTCGCTTTCAGATGTTGCAGGCAAGAACAGGATCTATATTTGGTCAGTTTTGACTTAAATTTCTCAAAACTTAGGAAAGGAAACTGGCATCTGCTTTTAATATGTGAGTCTTTGGTAAAGCTTGTCAATGGGAATTTGAGTCCCTGAGACACTAACCAGATCCTGCAAGAGAGTGGACCAGCCCTACACTTTATGGGATAACCGAGAAAATGCCATTCCCGGGCTTTCTTGGCAAGTACAACACTGGCCAGTTTCTCTTAGAGATGTCGTGGCCCTCTCCCTCCCTGATACCTCTTCCTTAAAGTGGTTTCAGGTATGAATTTCAGCACTGCTGCTTACCTGATACGAAGCTATGGGCAACCCATGTGTACATTCTGGCATCAGTTTCCCCATATTTATAATGGAGGTAATAACAATTTAATGTATCTATAGTGCCTGACCCAGAATGAGCCCTCAATAAATAATAAATATTGCTAGTTTTAAAAGTCAATCCCTTGCTGGAGTCATTGTGTAATGCAGGGCAAGATCAAGTACACATTCCTACAGCACATGTTATAATTGGGCATTTATCTACTAATCAGCATTTCTTAATCTATTAATTACAAATCCATTTAACTATACCACTATCTTGACCACAAGTTTGCTCCATGATATAAAAGTTTGGGGCAAAAGTCTTGTTAAAATCTAGATACATTATAGCCGTGCAGTTCTATCACTTACCACTTTAATAAACTATCCAGTATGATGTGTTTTTAAGGAACCCCCTATTCCCAGTGATCATTGCATCCTTTCTTAAAGGCTCACAGGGTATCCTTTCTAACCAATAGTAGAACCAATGTCAAGTTCAAAAGGTGTCGCATCATTTTTTTTCCTCCCTCTGAAAAACTAAAAATGTTGCCTGTCTAGAGTTGTGTGGAATGCTGTGGTTGGGCTCACTGAACTTCCATCTGACCCCCTGGTATGGAAGAGACTTAAGAGTTAAATATACAATTCCCAGATGCTTTTACAGCTAGTGCTCTGGATTCCAATAAGGTCCTGCCGTGCTGATGCAACTGTAAGAGATCCCTAAGGAAAGGTGAGAGTGGTCGTCTTCTAACATTGCTTGGTTGGCAGGTAAGGTCTCACGGAGATGTGAGATTTTCTTCTGAAGCAATGAGTCCTGGGTGAGAGGAGTGGAGACACAGGCTGCAGTGGCCTCCAGGGCCCAGTGCAGTCACCAGCATGAGGGACTAGTGACAGCAGTGACGAGTGCACAGTTCCAGCTCCGCCATTCCCGAATCTCAGCTGTAATCATGTGCTCTAGAAGCTCGATGGCCTCGGAGGCGGCAGCTTCCCTGGTGACTCAGCTCTGCGTGTCTCGGCATCATTCCTGGAAGCCCAGGCTAAGAGCTCACCTCTCCAGGCCTTCCAGTGATTTTGCAAGCACCCGATTTACCGTATTAAATCTCTGCCTACTACAGATGTTTCTGTCTCTTGCCATGAACCCTGGCTGACACCACAATCTTTCCCATTTTCTGTAATTCCTGAGTGATTACTGGCAGCAGTTTAGCAAATACATCTGCAGGTTGGCACATCGGTGCTGTACAGTAAGAAATTAATGTCTGACAGTTTTTGTTCGTCTTGAGTCATCTTGTTTAAGAGTCTTAGTCCACAGAATCTTACTTTTTTCTTTCAGTAGTTTCTCATTCTTTTATCTTCATGCAGGTAAAAAAAAATTCCAGCTATTTTGCTGAAAAAATTCCAGCAATTTTTTGATCTATAGTACTAAGTCAGCTTCACTTCTACCAGGTTTATTCATAAAAGTAAGATACAGCCTTCTGTTAGTATGCTCCTGCCACTTCATACAGCTTTATGATGATATAAAGCTATTTATCTCCTTAAATATATTTATATAAATACACACACCTGTACACGCACCCCTGCAGAGAAGTCTTATTCTCAACATATTTATCAGTTTTTTTCTTCTGATAATTGCAGACAACCTCTTGTACAAATATATGTCTTCCTAAATCATAATCATTTGATAATTTTTTCCCCTTACCTTTCACATTTAAAATATTCTTGATCATATCATCATGTTTGTGAGAGAGAAAAAGATACAAAATCTCTAGGCACCCTGAGAAGAACTTTAT